TATTTAAAAAATTTTTTAAAAAGAAAAATGTAGACTGAACTAAGCATTTTAAAGGCAATTACAGTGAAGCACGAGTCCTCGTGTATTAGACATATTCTCATAAATGTAATGCATAAGTACATAAAGAGTCCAGCATTTAAAATGATGGATATAATAAGAAATATGTCACTGTATTTTAGAGGGAATCAAGGAGATTTGGAGAGCATTTCCTACAGAAAAAGGCAAATTATAAAGCAGTATCAAAAATAATGTCTGCATTTCAGTTACTTTGATAGAACAAAAGTAAGTTATAATGCAAATATAATAGATTAAAATTTAACAGTAGTATTACCTCTAACTAGTGAAGTTTTGAAGCCATAAAAGGAGGAAAACAGCAATTCTTGAGGAAGAGCAGAAAGGGGAGTTGACTTGAACTACAGTAGGAAGCATGAGTGTTTGGTAACCATCTTTTGTCAGTAATATGAAGGTACTTCAAAAAGCTCATGGAATGATTCGTATTATCCTTTAATTCCATTTTTCCATGAACTTTTTGAAGTACCCTCCTAATAGCATTTACTGAGCACCCACCAAATGCCAGGCACTATGCTATTTTAGTGAGCTTGGTGCTGGTATTTTCATCTTATAGATAAGGAAACTGAGACACAGAGAAATTGGCTAAGTTGGCAAATTGTCTAAGTAGTGGCACTCATACAGAAACCATGCCAGTCTTGTACCAGAGACCATTCCTTCTAGCTCATGTCACTGTGTATGCTGCACTGCGTTTCATAGTAAAGTTATGAAACAGAAATGCCTCATGAAGGAAGGAGATGTGAGCTCTCTCGGAATAGATGTATAAGTAACTTCTGGTGGTAGCCTTGAGTAAAGGGCAGGGGATAATAAATACCAGAAAACTGGGGCTGGCCCGTGGCTCATTTGGGAGAGCGCGTTGCTGACAACACCAAGTCAAGGGTTAAGATCCCCTTACCGGTCATCTTTATATACAAAAAATAAATAAATGAACAAACAAATACATACATACATACATACTAGAATACTCATTTCAGTCCTGTGACTGTGAAAACAGTTATGGTAGTTTTGAATGGTTAGCCTAATACTGTCATAAGTAGTAAGTTTACTGAAAAATTTGTGGTGATTTTTAAAGATTGGACATTGAAAGGTGTCAGATTTCTGTTTAGTAAATTCAAACTTACTTGGAACTCATAATTTCCTTCTGAGTAGAATTATTTAGGAATTAGTGGGAAAAACACAGGTATTATTAAACTTTAAATTTGGGATTAACCCTTTAAAAATATGTAGATAAGTCTTTTCTAAAAAAGAGATAAGTCTTTCAAAAAAATAAATATTTTCTAACTTCTGTAATAGTTACTTAGAAGAAATCCAAAATGGACTTTATAAGAGAAAGTAATAAATATTTATGAAGTTTTGAAATAGGATAATCTCCCACTATGAACTTATTTCTTGAAAATACAAGTCTATGTAAACTCTTTGTAATTTTTATTTAGAAGGCAAATTTACTTTGTAATTGCCCAGTTTACTCATAGAGTAAGCATCTTTTATGCATATTGTTTATTCTATGGGTGTTTTTCCCTATATTTTACACTATCTACTAAAGGCTCAGGTAATATGTGATATAAACACGTACGTGATAATGAATATTTGTTTACACATTTTATCATAACATTTTTGTTAGTAAGTTTTTAAAATGATCTTTATTTCATGTCATTATAACTTAAACATAAAGTTCTATTTTCTGTTTTTTAAAAAAAAGCATGTATAATAATGATAATTGACTACCACATCTGGTTTCTTTTGATTTCTTTTTAAATTAAGTGAAGGTGACCATTCTTACTGTGGAAACTAATGGGGATTTGAAAAATAAAAATAATTTAAATCTATGGATTATGTGTACAGGGAAATTTTATACAAAGCAAATTAGAATTTTTAACAATTAGTATTTTGGTGGTTGTAAATTCAGTCATAGCCCATGGAATCCAGTTTTATTTCTAAGCCTTAGCTTTATCTGCCATGACTACAGTTTATTTCTTTTAATTATAAAACTGAGGTTAACAGACATTATGACTGAATAAACTTAAAAGGGCTTATATTATACAAACCTATAGAAAGTGAAAATCTTTCTCCAACGCAATATTTTTTAATTCCATGAAACAAAACCACAAAAATCTGTTATAGTGTTATAGACATCTTTAGACTATCAGAGTTTAATTAAAGTTTAAAAAACTAATGACATTTTAGTTTTTAAAATAAATCTTATGTATAGCAAAGATCAAACAAAATTGTCAGTGTGAAAATTTTCTTACCTCAGCTGTTAACTTCTTTTGCAGAATGCTAAATTCTTGTTCTAACTGGACATTTTGGTGATTTGGCTAAGAAAGCAAAGGGGTGGTTCAATTCAGATTAAAAATGGTTCTCTAGCAAACTGAAATGGTTTCTGTAGAAAAAGAGGAAGTTTATCAATAGCTGATTCCGGAAGTGCAATAACCCGCAAAATGACTAAGAAATGTATGACTTTAACAGAACTTATTTTAAAACACAATTTGGAGCCATATGATTTGAATGCTTTTAATTAATGTCTATAAGTAAACATTTGAGACTCTTTAGTAATGTGATCATATAATTTAAATATTTAGAATGGAGTCCTGAAGAGAAAATTGTGTGTTCTAAGGAAAAGCTGCCAGTTGGGTTGTTACCCATAGTGAGATTTCTTTTTATAAGTTAATGATGTGTTTTGTTTACTTGTATGAACTTAGGCAAGTTGCTGCACTTCTGTGTCACCATTTCCTCCTCTGAAAGAATATTTCCCTTTTTGGGTTTTTGTAAGGATTAAATAAGATAAAATAAATAAATAAATAGGATAACATAACATATAAATGTCTCATATATAGTAGGCAACCAGTAAATGTTAATGTTATTTTATAATACATAACTGGCAAAGCCCAGGTAAAAGTATAACTAAGTTATTTTGACCAAATACTTTACTAAGTGATTTTTGAGTTCAACTCTGCAGCTATTTATTCAACTACCCACAAAGTAGGTACTTCTCAGTGAAAAATAAAATAAATTGGGAATCTCTTTTAAATAAAAAATTAGGCAAATTGTATTGAAAAGATTATGAATCCATCTGAATAAAAAATTTCTTTGGGCAATCACTTTCTAGCCTCTTTCCTCACCTGAAAAATAAAGATCATAATTCCTAATTTATAAGTTTATTATGAGATTAAATAAATGTAAAGCACCTTGCATAGTGCGGGTTGTATTAGGTATGGCAAGTGTTAACCCATGCACTGCTTTCCCCTGGTTACTGTAGAGGAACACAGATTATTATGACCTAGTTCATAACTACAGTGTACTTATGATTTGGTACAAAATAAATAGTTGGGTTTTTGGTTTTTTGTGTGTGTTTTGTAAAGAGGTCTTATTATAAAGCAGAATATAATCAAAATGCTATAAAGCTTTTGATTTCTTATTTTAAAATCCCTGAATTAAGCTGGTGAACCATAATACCCAGGGGTAGAAAATAAGTGTTTATGTTAAAAAATAACTTTAAAATTTCAAATTCAAAGATATCTTAACCACCATCTTTAAATACTTGTCAAGTTTGTAAAGGAACCACTTCCATTTGTTCATGAACTATATCATTGGATAGTATTATTCTGAAAGTATGTGTTTTAACAGGCAGGAGAGTGAGTGATGAATTTTTAATATTTCTGCAGTAGAAGTTTTCTGTTTGGTGAGAAAATGTTTGTCCCGTATGTTGATTATGAAAGTAGTTTCTTAGATAATTTTATTTTCACAAGGTACTAATTTGTTTTGTTTTGTTTTGTTTTTTTGTCTTTTGTGTTTTTCCGTGTCCGGCAACGGATCGCAACCCTCAGTGTTGCCCCCGTACCGGACCGGGGACCGGCAATGGGACTGCAACCCTCAGGGTTGCTCCCGCGCCTCGCTCAGCCAGTGAGCGGGAACCGGTCCGTACGTGGGATCCGAACCCTCGGGCGGGAGCGCCGCCGCGCTTCCCAAGTGGCGCACTATCCAGTGCGCCACCGGGCCGGCCCCTAATTTGTTTTAATTTCCTCTCACAGGTATTTATTTATGGTACTTGATTTAAGGAGTGCTTTCTCTTATCACTGTGTGTTCTTGTGAACAATCTCAGATTTTTAATTTGCACAAAATGGGATCTCTGCCCAGTTTCATTTCTAATCTGGGCCATTTTACCCTTCAAAAGATAACCTGCTGTCACTGTGATTGGCATGAGTATTCTCATGCTTTCCTTTTTAGTTGTTGACATTTAGCTGTATCTGGGAATAATATGGTTATGATTTATTGTTTAAGGAATGTTTTTTGTTTCTTTTTTTACAAATTTGTAAAAAAAAAATTTATTATAATAAATTGATAATAAAATTGATGGTTTATTTTTTTCCCTCTCATTTTAAGATGTAACCTAGATGTTTGGAACCATACAACTTGTAGAAGTGAATTTGATGACTGAGAGCAGTATCACCTAGGAGTTCTGTAAAAATTACCAATGCCTGGAGCTCACCCTGTTCCAGTTGAATTAGAAAGAGGGCATTGGAATTAGGCATTGGTGCTTTTTAAAAACTCTTCAGGTGAATCTAGAAGGGGAAGTAAGATTGTGGTCATACTCGGAAAAAAATATATAAAATATTTTCTTAAGTGGCTAGCATGTTGCCCAAAATAAACACTTAATAAGGGATAAGATTTTTTTTTAATGTGGCTTTGTCTTTAATTAGTATGCCCTGTGTCATTTTCAGTAGATACTTGGAAATTCTTTCAAACAATATTTGTAATTTATTTAATTGAAGATGGAAATCTTGACTTAAATGAAAGTCATTATTTTACTTGAAGCCAATTTCTTTAAAGGTTAGACAATTACCTAATGTATCCTGTTTTCCAAACTTGAACACACACACACACAAACATGCGCGCGCGCACACACACACCTTTGCTTATGTCACATTGGATAGTAAAAAGTAAATGGCCATTTATTAGGCCACCTGGCAACCTTGAAGTCCAAAAATTAATCAACTTTGGGTATTTGTTATTAATGCTCCAATAAGCAGTTTCATAGAAAAGATAAATATTACTCTTAAACAGTAAAACATACTTTACATTTACACCTGACCTTCTGGTAAGGCTATAAATCTCATTTATTTTAGTTGTGCTCTATTTTTTATTGATTTTTGCAATGTGTTCTCTAAGATAATAAAGTGAATGCAAATATACATAGTCACAGTATTATTCTAATGAGTTTTAATTTATACAAAATTTAAAGTTTTAATTTAATACTTATAGTAGAAAAACACTTTCTTATGTATGTCATATGTAAGGATGAAAGCATCTAGTCTAAAATTAGCTGTGTTGTATATAAGCTGGTATGTATTCTGCCACATCCAGCAAAAAAGTTACCATTAAATTATACAGTTCAACTCTATGCATTAGGAATTTGACACCTCTTAGACGTTGAAGCATATGCTTGGTTCTAAGGACACACTAAAACTTTTCAAAGTTTAATTACATTCAGACAAAGATCATCTAACTACTATTACTGAACATGGCATATTTATTGAATTATCCCTTGCTACCTCTATTAGTCAGTTTCTTTAACTTATCTTTAAAACCTTACCCAAACACTTGGTTGTTTTATCATTTGCTTTTTAAAACATTCAGTGTCAAGACAAAAGTATACAGTTAAAGTAATTAAGTAAGCAGGGATACTTCTCCCCTTCTTGCCTGGTTTATTCTAAATTGCAAGGCCTACCCTGTCAAATTTTAGATCATCATACCAACACTTTGGTTTTAAATACCTAACTGACTTCATTTTTACTCCATAACCTTTTTCATTGCTACTTTGCATTTTTCTTCACTAAAGCATCTGTTAGTAAGTTTTTCAGTTTCTTCTTCATCTTTTCTTTCCCTCATAGCTGTGAGCACTCCAGTGGATTGCATCATTAGGTTGGGCCCTGTGAGCTGTTTTGCTCTTTTCCAAGTGTCTGATTCAGCAGTCCATAGTCCACTGCTTGCCAGAAAATCGCCATTGCTTCTAGGCTGACGCTTGCCTACTTGTTTTGATCTTCTGAGAGATGAGACTTTGTTTGCCAGAACCACAGTTGATAGAAATAGAAGGGTACAGATAAGAAAAAGGACTGCAATTATAATTAAGCAAATTAGCATAGCCATGTTGTTGTTGTTTTCCTCACAGCTATCCTTTTTGAAAATTTCACCAGGACTTTTGCTTATGTTTTCAATGTTCTGTACTGTTGAAGACCTGTTCCTGACAACAGAAGGTGTATAAAGCTCTTGTTCAGATTTAGGAATTAAAGATACGAAGTGAGATGATGTTGCTATTTCAGGCATGTTTGTAGAATTACCTTTATAATCAACTTCAGGAGTTACAGAGTTTGTGTTAATGTTTTCATTTTGGTTTCTGCCCATCTTGTTTAGAATAACTGTATCCCAGGCAGTAGTAGTATTAGCCCACAGATGGGTATAATTTACTTTTGTTCCAGGAGACAAAGAAAAAACTGTTGTCATCAGAAAGGCAAGATGCAGGTAATGTCCTGTGTGCTCCATGTCCATGAATATCTGTTGGGAGAGCAATATAATTTGTTAATATGTGAAAGAATGTTCCTATTTTGGTAACTGTAGTTAAAACAGACAGTTGCGATGTTACAAGTAAGCTACAAGCTTGTGCCTGAACATTGCTACTCTGTTTGAATTCCTTCTCAACTGAATTTTTTCCTATTATTCTTAGTCTACATATAAAGAAGCATTTTAGTTTCTACTGTATTTTAGATCCTAGAAGTTAACATTACAGATAATTATTAATCATTTTAAACCAAATATCATGGCTTTATATAGTTTTCTCCTTTTTAAGCATGCTAGACTTCAGCTTTGAGTCAGATACTTCTGCTTTTCCTACACTTTTGATTTCTCTTTTTTTAAAAAAAAAAAACCATTTAAGGGTCATTCTTGCAGAAACTCCCCACCCTCTAACTAACCCGTCACCATTCTTTATGATAAAGGAGAAATGTGGCCCTGAACATTTTGCTTCATGTATGAAAAGAAAATGCAATGGCCCTTTTTTTTGGGGGGTGGGGGGGAGATGGAGAGAGGAAAGTTAGGTAGCAACCAAAAAGAAATGACTTCAAATAGGAATTCAATGTGTTCTTTTTCCTTCTGGGTGTTTATCTTGAAGCTTAAAATAAAGCTAATACTTAGAAATATATTCCCAGCATTTGTGAAAGTAATTTTATATAGTGGTGGTTCTCTCCTTTCACCTCTATTTTCCTGGACTCTACTGTGTCTTTCTGAAAACAAAGGTATGCCAGTTTTCTCAACCTAAAAATCTAATGTAACAAAGAAAAAGAAGCAGATCTTTTTCTGAATAATCTCAAAAGTTCAATAAAAGTTACTGGCTTTAAAAAAAAAAAAATCATCATTTATACCTAGCATTTTTTTCTGATTTTGACATAATTCTAAAAAAAGAAAATTTACAATAAAATAAAAAGAAATAGAGCATAGGATCTTGGGGACTTAGAATGAAGTGACAGATTGTGAGTATCTCAACATATGAGAGTACTTCAGAAAGTTCATGGAAAGATTCAAAATATCTTTTAATTCTGTTTTTCCTCAAATGTTTTGAAGTACCCTCATATAATTGAAAAAGTTGTTTCAGTTTTATCTTTGAGCTTCCTGGAAACCAGTACAAAAAGTAGACAAGTTCTGTTCTTAATTCTCAATATCCACCATATGATTAAAGATTTAAATAGAACTGGCATATCTGTTCCTGGTACTGCTAACTAGTAGAAAAGATTTATCGCCATTATTGAGGTATCTGTTATGATAATACACCAGTTGGTCCTGAGCTACTTTTATAGGAGCGTTTTATTGTTGGCATTTATTTGTGGGAACTAAAGGCAAAACTAGGATTGTTCTCCTGAGATTTACTAAATGAAATTTCCTGGTTAAGAATCCTGTGTATTTTGTAGAAGTTCTTCTCAAATTTAAATGTACATGGGAGTCCTTTTTCTTTTTTTTTAAATGCAGATTCTGATTCAGCAGGTCTAGGGTGGGGCCTGAGATTCTGTATTTCTAATCCACTCAAGTGACACAGAGGCCACTTCTAGTCATGCTTTTGAGTATCAAGGTTTTAGAAGAAATAGTTGTTATACGTTATTGGATAACATCTGTATACTATTGAAATACAGGAATTGAGAATAACATGTGATATGTTGTTATACAAACAAAAGTAGCATATAATAAACAATACTAACTGGAAACTAACATCTGAAGTAATATTTCATATTACTAGTAGAGAGGAAAAAACCTTTATTAAATGTTCATTGGATTATGACTATTAGACAGTTAAAAATACAGTATACTGACTTTTGTATAATAGTGTTCAGCTTCAGTTTTTAAGTTTAATTACATAAATCTTTGGATACTTTATGAGTCACATACTTTTATACTAGACTGGACTTCTGCATTACATGCTAAAATGATTTAAAGTGAATTATTCTCATCACATTAGTTCATTAACAACGTAGCGTATGCATCATAGTAGGCGTACACATTTTAACTGTGCTTACCACAGGACAGATAATAGGCCCGCTGTTGATTGTTTTAGCCAGATGTACTGCCATGCCCAAATAAACAAACTCTTGGCGAAATGAGACTTTCTCTTACCCTTACAAATGCCTGAGAATTGAAAACGGTTTCTACATCTCTAATTTATGTTGTGGAGGCCAGGTTGTATTATCAAAAGTTTTTTTTACTTATCTCTGATCATTTTCAATAAAATTTATGATGTCTAAGCATTAGTAATGAGAAATTTTTCTTAAATTTTTTTCTTTTAACAAAACTTTCTAATTCACTTGTGGAGTCCAAACTCAAATCCTTTCTAATCCTAAATTAAAACTCTATGTTGAAGGTGTCGGTGACGGGCCATAATAATCATATACAGTGTATATTGACAAAATAAAAAAAAAATAAAAAATAAAAAATAAAATAAAATAAAATAAAATATTACAGTTTTATTAAGGACTAAAACCAAAAAAAAAAAAACTCTATGTTGAAGGTAAATCTTTCCATTTCTAACTTAAATTTTACTTGATAAAATATTACAGTTTTATTAAGGACTAAAACCAAAAAAAAAAAAAACTCTATGTTGAAGGTAAATCTTTCCATTTCTAACTTAAATTTTACTTGATAGGACAGAAAAGAACCAACATTTTCAATCACTTATGATTCTACTTTGTTAGTAAGATTCTTACACACTCTTTGAAAGCACTTCCTCAAACACTAATCTGTACAAAGTTAGAAGTGAAAAGGCACAGGAAAAGCCATACACATGACCTACCTTACAAAATGCTTGGTCAAAATCTGATTATAATGTGATTTTAATAAACCACTTCTTTTCTTGTCTTCTTTTCTTATTTAAAGGAGAATAAACTTGGAGAATACGAACCTTAAAGTCAATCTGCAGTAAAAAAAAAAGGATATGTACAGCTAGTTTTCCACTTTAAAACCAAACCACAGATGACACATTTCCTTTCCACTGCAACTAAAGCACATGTCACAGGAGAAAAAAAAAGAAAGAAAAACTCCAGCTTGTCTAGTTGGCCACTGGCATAACAGGAGGCTTTGTAGAACAAATCCCGCCTCCAGAGTGGGGGCGAGGGGTGGGGAGAGTTCCACTTAATGCCTTTTGACCTTATACTCATTATATATGCATGCTATATGCTTTTGAATCATATAGTAGTATTATTCAAAAGAGGTTACAAAATGGCATCTTCCCTGCAGCATTAAAATCTTCTCTAAAAAATTTATTTCTGTACCACAGACTGATTTGAAAACGTGAGTTTGGAGTCCTTGGGGTATTTGATAATAAAAGTGATATATACATAATTGACATTTTAAATTGTGGAACTACAGCAATGATTTGAGCAAATACTTAGTAAACTTAGATGATATGGGGATAGAAAATGCTTTTGTGTGATGTAGTGTGTGCACACACATACACTCCCCTTGAATGTCATGTCATCACGACATTGAACATGTCTAAAATGGGCTTTATTTTTCCTCCAAAAATGGCTGCCCCTCATGATCTCCTTGTTTCTTTTTTTTTTCCTTTTTGTCTTTTTTCGTGACCGGCAACGGATCGCAACCCTCAGTGTCGTATTTATTGGCTTACACAAGTGAATAGTCCAGAGATAAATTTGACCCCAGAAGAGGCTTTAACTGGGACTCAAATGATATATCCAGGGCCTCAGTTTCATTTCTCAGCTCCTTCTGTACAGTATCCTAAGATAGGAGCCAGCAACTCCCAGGGCTTTATATTCCCTTATTTATGATTATCAGGAAAGAAAAATCTCAAATCCCAACAATTTAAGCGAAAGTCCCTGATTTGAGCCTCTTCGGCCCTGGTTTTCCTGATTTGAATCATGTTTATTGCTGAATCAGTATCTGGTCAAGTAGGATAAATGGATTGTCTAAAGCCTTTCCAGTTCACTTCAGAGCTCCAGGAGTGTCATACCTACCCAGACTGTTCACCCGGGAAGACTGGTGGGCCCTAGAGGCAACTAATCAATGCCTGCGTCCTCCTTTATTAACTTTTGGACAAATGTTTCTCGTTGCTAAAAATTTTACAGTTGGAGATTTGTCTCTTCCCTTTTACTCTAGCCATATTTCTCAATGTCTGAAGAACAACTGATTTAAAAAATGAATCTAGACTTTGAATAATTGCTTTATATTATTATTCTTTCTAAAAAACTAATCAGAAAATAAAATAATAGAATAGTGACATCTGTATATTTATTAAGAATTCTGTTAATCTGTGTCCTTTGTTGTTATCTTCCTTAGGTTCAAAACTGGTCAAATCAATGGCGATTTGCTGATATACCACGTCTTGCTGACTTTAAAGCCATATTATGCAAAGCCATATGAAATCGTAGTGGACCTTACCCATACTGGGCCTAGCAACCGCTTTAAAACAGACTTTCTCTCCAAGTGGTTTGTTGTTTTTCCTGGCTTTGCTTATGATAATGTCTCTGCAGTCTATATCTACAACTGTAACTCCTGGGTCAGGGAGTACACCAAATATCATGAGCGGCTGCTTACGGGCCTCAAAGGTAGCAAAAGGCTCATTTTCATTGACTGCCCTGGGAAACTAGCTGAGCACATAGAGCATGAACAACAGAAACTACCTGCTGCTACCTTGGCTTTAGAAGAGGACCTGAAGGTATTCCACAATGCTCTCAAACTAGCTCACAAAGACACCAAAGTTTCTATTAAAGTAAGTTTCAGTCTGTATTTTGTGAATCATTCATTGTCTTTCTTGACTAACCAGACTATATCCTGGCCTCCCTTTGTGTCCCCATAGCTGTATATTAAATATCAAGTAAGTCCAGATGTAGGAAGACCAATATTTCTGTCTTCGTGGAGGTCCTGCGGAAGATACGAGAAGTATACACTTAATTGTATTCTAGGTTAGGTTGGAGGCAGAAGAGAGTTGTAGAGAGGGCAGTGTGCTATATGTCAGTCAAATGGTAGGAATGTGTGGAGAATGGAAATTACTGTGTGAGAGTTCTTTTATTATTACGTGCTTTTTGCAGAGTGAGGAACATGAACATTCAGAATAAAATCAGTACTTGTCTGTAGGATTCTTGACCTTTTTTAAAAAGTAAAATTAATTTTTTTCTGATGACTTCAGTTTCTTTTGAGAGCATTTTTCACAATAATTATTAAACCAATTTGAATATATAATAATGGTAACCCTTCCTTACATGGCAAATATGGTGTGTTGGTTGGTTGGTTGGTTTTTGGAACCTCTTAGAATTCTACATAATGGCATTTAATTCTTTTCCACTCCACCCCCTCACCACCACTTTCCAGGTTGGTTCTACTGCTGTTCAAGTAACCTCAGCAGAGCGAACAAAAGTCCTGGGGCAGTCAGTCTTTCTAAATGATATCTATTATGCCTCGGAAATTGAAGAGATCTGCCTAGTGGATGAGAACCAGTTCACGTTAACCATTGCAAACCAGGGCACACCGCTCACCTTCATGCACCAGGAGTGTGAAGCCATTGTCCAGTCTATCATTCATATCCGGACCCGATGGGAGCTATCGCAGCCTGACTCGATCCCCCAGCACACCAAAATTCGGCCAAAAGATGTCCCTGGGACACTGCTCAATATCGCATTACTTAATTTAGGCAGTTCAGACCCTAGTTTACGGTAGGTTTTTAAAAATTCATTTCAACTTTATTCAGGGTTTGTTGCTTTTAAAATGGGACCATTTAATAAGCTTTTAAAGCAGCTGCTACCTTAATACTGTAAATTGGAAAGTATGCCATGTGGGTTAACCAGCGTGATCTCATCAAGCTATGGGATATTCACATGAACTGTGGATGGAATTCTGAGTAGGGTGATTCATACTAAACCAATATATGTACTTTCTCCAGGAAACTTTCATCTGAAACAGACAACATAGCAGATTTTTTTTTTCCAAAGAAAATGTCCTTTTTAAAAAAGCCTACTCCTAAATTAAGTTTCTATTCCTCTGAGTCCTCTAATTAAGTTTTCCCATGTTCAAAAGTATATCATGATTACATTTCCTAACAGTCAAATCAGATTATCATTGTTTGACAAAGGAAGGCCTAATAACGTTCAATTACTCAAACAATAACATTATTGCATACTTTCCACCTATGTCACTTTAACAGAATTCTTGAAAGAAATCTTAAGACAAATATAAATGTCATCTGAACATTTATAATTGGTTCTGTTTAGGCCTAATAATTTGAACATGAATGTGGAAAGAGCATGGCCTGTGGAGTTAGTAGATTTGGTTTAAATCTAGATCTGCTACTTTCTAGCTATGTGTGACTTTGGGCAAGATACTAAAGTTTTCTGAACTCTAGTTTCCTCATTTGTAAAATAAATTAACAATGCTTTTCTTATATACCTACAAAGGTTTAATAATTAGTATGTGTGGCAGTATACTATAGCATCTAGCAAATAGTTTGTGCTTAGTAAAAGTATTTCTCCCCTTCCCTGCTTACCTTCCTGCCAAAGTCTTTTATACCCTTTCCCCTCCTTCCCCCCTTTCCTTTTCATGTTAGGATAATTCTTTGTCTTAAGTACTTCAAGATTTTTCAGATACAAAATCCGAGCTTCAGAAAAATCTTCCCTAGGGTATAACATAGCCCAGGTTTTATAGTGGGCCTTTTTGGATTCCAGATTCACCTTTATTTAAAAGGAAAAAAAAACCCAACAGGATTTCTTTACCTGGATGGGTTGAAATATACAGAGTAAAAGTTAATATCAAAATAGTATAACTTAGAATTCTTAGGCATTAAAGAATGCCAACAACCTTTTAATAATTATTAGCTTGGGTGAACCCATACTCTAGTGAAATAAAGCAAGCTGACAGCTTCTGCTTTTTGCTGATACATGTCATCCCAGAGAAAAGCCTTTAGGCAGGCTAAAATTTCAGTGCCTTTTTTTCCCCTGTGTGGTTGTCACATAAATATATTAGCATGACAGAAGTTCAGAAGTCAGGAAAAGCTGAAATTTACTGAGCAGTCAAACTAATATCTTCTGCTGTATGTGGGAGAAAATTAAAATTTGAAAATTGAGTCCAAGTTTTTAAAGCTGTCTTCTACATTACTTAAATACATTTTCAGACATTTATAAGTGAGTTTTGGTCCTAATGGAACCTGGATATTACAGTTTTTTGTTTTCAGCAGTTATGTATGAAAGAATGAGGACTCAGAAGGAAAAGTGGAGGGACTTAATTATAAGTTAATTTTGTTTTTGACTTCCAGTGTGTAGTGTAACTAACAGGACACCCAGAAAGAAATTCTCAATAGATGCTGATTGAATATTTTAATATTCTAATTTGATGAGGGGCCACCTCATTTCTCTTCTTACGATCCCCATTGCAACTGGATCAAGTGGGAGAAAGAACCACAATTTGAGTTTTTGCTTTACTAAAAACATATGGTATACCTTATTCTGACTTTCTATTGATAAACCTTAGGACCATAAATCTCTCAAATTTTATGGCCTAGTGAAATGTCTTTTAGGAAGGCCTACACCCACCTGTCTTGGGAGCCTCATAGTACTCTTCTGGTTATGTCAAGAATCTCCTTTTTTTTTTTTTTAATTCCTAAATGATCAAGGGGTATTTTGGTTTTACCATAGACTCATAACATCTTATCTTTAATTGATCATAAAATTTAAAAATAGTTGATCATACTTTGTAATAGAATCAAAGATTGTATGTTATAAAAAATTGGGGGAGTTATAAGGAAAATAAGTTTTAAAACAACTTCATTTGTGTTTTCTCCTAGGTCAGCTGCCTATAATCTTCTGTGTGCCTTAACTTGTACCTTTAATTTAAAAATCGAGGGCCAGTTACTAGAGACATCAGGTTTATGTATCCCTGCCAACAACACCCTCTTTATTGTGTCTATTAGTAAGACACTGGCAGCCAATGAGCCACACCTCACGTTAGAATTTTTGGAAGAGTGTATTTCTGGATTTAGCAAATCTAGTAAGTAATGATAATTTTCTTTAATACTAACAATGATTCTAAGAAAATTAAAGAAAACTCTTTCACTCCAGAATTTGCCAGTGAAGTCTTTGACTTGTTATATTTTTACTTTTTTACCTCTTCTCATTTTTCGTCTGTGATACCCTGTAAGTGAAGGAACTCCGAAGGAACTTCCTGGTAGGCTACATTGAGAAATCCATCAATAAAAGCAAGCTGGCAAGATTTTGGTACCTTACATGTCTCTGGACCACTTACAAAGTATTTTCTTCACTCTCTCAGTCTAATTAGCTTCAGTATTTCTCTTCTTAGCAGAACATGCCACATGAGTAAAGTATGCACATTGTCTCCTTGCTTTTAGGAAAACAGTCATTTTCTCTTTTCTTCAGGTTGACTTTGTGATATTATTATATACATATGATGTACGGAGAGTGCAGTGGCACATAATACAGGGTCCAGAGTTTGTCCTGCACTGGCTCTAATAAGTCTCAAAGTTAGCATCCACTCTTTATATCAGTCCATCTTTTTATTTATTTATTTTTTTAGTTGGTGGCTGGCCAGTAAGGGGATCCAAACCCTTGACCTTGGTGTTATCAGTACCAAGCTCTACCAGTAAGCTAACCAGCCAGCCCTATATCTGTCCATCTTTATGCTCTTTAGTAGTATAAATGTTGGTCTTCTCTCAGTTTATTTCCTGACATTTTCTTCAATTTCTCTTTCTCCATAATGCATAAACTGTTTTTCCCTACAAACACATTTCTCTATTAGATAATTAAAAGCTTTAACATTTCATCAAGACTAGGTCACTATATATGTGTTTTTGTGTATATGTATGTATATACACACACATTATATACATACATTATATATACATTTTTTCTGTAAGAAATATATAATATATATGTATATAATTATATAATTATACAATATATATATAATTTTTTTCTGTAAGAGATATAGGAATATAAACCTAACAAGAAAATGTGTAAGACTGGCAAAGAAAAGTATAAAGCTTACTTAATAACTATTAATATAAGAAAAGATTTCAGTTACTGGACAGGCATATTGTGTTCCTGCAAGAACAGTTCTTCCCGGATTATTACAAATTTATTATAGTCCCATCAAAATGGCCATGGGATTTGAAAACTGAGAATGGAGATAGAGGCTGGCCAGTTAGCCTGGTTGGTGAGAGCACAGTGTTAGAACACCAAGGTCAAGAGTTTGGATCCCTTTACCAGCCAGCCACCAAAAAATAGAAAGAGAGAGAATGGAGGTAGAAATGATTCTAAAATTATTCTAAATTCTACTTGAAAGTACAAGAATAGCTAAGAAAATATTAAAAGGAAAAGAAAACAGACTTGGCATTACAGATGTCTGAACACTTTGTAATGATACAATAATTAAAATGGGTGTTTGAGAATCAGCAGTCAGATCAGTTTAAGAGAAACAGGTTGATAAAGAAGCATCACAAACTAATGAGTGAAGATTAAATCATTTAAGAAATGAGGTTGGGATATGAATTGTTAGGTCTTTATCTTCACCATACACCACAAGATACCAAATAAGTTCTAGCTATATATATTTTTTTCCTTTTTGTCTTTTTTACTGACCGGTAACGGGATCGCAACCCTCGGTGTCGCACCCGTACTGGGGACCAGCAACGGGATCGCAACCCTCGGTGTTGCGCCCGCACCACACTCAGCCAGTGAGCAGGAACCGGTCTCCACATGGGATCCGAACCCTCGGCAGGAGCGCCGCCGCGCTCCCAAGCAGCACACTCTCCAGTGCGCCACCAGGCCGGCCCAAGTTCTAGCTATATTTAAGAGCTGAATATAAACACTGGGACCATTGAAAACAGAAAAGGAAGAAGTGAATATTTAGCTGATTTCTAGATGAGTAAGGACATACGAAGCAAAAAAGTGATAGAGGGAAACAGTGACAGATATAACTACATAAAACTTCAGAACATCTCTACTCAAGAACAAAAAATGAAAGATAAATTAAAAACTAGGAAATCCAGTTGGGGTGATTATAAGAAAAGATTAATATCCTTAGCCATGAAGAGTTCTTATACAATTATAAGAAAAGTAGATCAACAGCAACATACAGATGCTAAAAAAGAATGCATTTTAAGAAATTCACTAATCAAAGAAATGCAAATAGAAAGAACAGTGAGATAACATATTCCCCTATCAGATTGGCAAAGATATTTTTAAAAATTCAGTGCTGATGGTAGAATTGTGAGCAGGGGCAATTTTTCTAGAAAGTAGTTCATAAGTGGATATCAAGACCATTAAGAATGTTCAGACCTTTTGGCCTCATAATTCCACTTTTCAGAATTTATCCTAAGGAATTAATTTTAAGTGTTTATCATAGCATTATTTTTTATTTAGGTTTTTAAATTGAGGTATATCTTGTCATCAGTAAAGTGCCTAGATCTTAAGTGAATAGCTTGATAAACTTTAACGTGTGAATATATCACGGAAGTATCTTCAAGATCAAGATACGAAACAATTCCAGCATCTAAAATGATCCTTTCTGTCAGTACCATCCCTTCACCAAGAATAAACACTACTGTGACCTCTATTGCCACAGACTTATTTTACCTACTTTTGAACTTCATACAGCATTATTTATAATAGCAGAAAAAAAAATCAGAACAGTCCAAAAGTCAGTGAATAAAGAACTGATTAAACTATTGGATCTCCATAAGATGAAATAATATGAAACCATTAAAAATGTTTTTGGTGCAAAGTGTTGGTTTCAGAAGATGAAAATACTTTGGAGATGGATGATGGCGATGATTGCACAATGTGAACACTTTTAATGCCACTGAACTTTACACTTATAAAATGATTAAAGCCACTTAACTGTACACTTAAAAATGGTTAAAATGGTAAATTTCATGTTCTGTATGTTTTACCACAATTTAAAATTTTTTCTTTGAGACTATAAGTGAAGCGTGTAGAGGAATTTTTGTGTCTTATAAGTTTTTTCTTCTTGAAGTTTTTTCCAAATAAAACGCTAAAAAATGTTTTTGGATAATTTTTAATGATGAGTACATAATCTCAGTATAATATTTAGTGAAAAAAATATTCAGAGCATACTACATATATAGCATAATTCTAATTTTTGGTGGGGAGTGGTGGTGGGTTATATGTGTGTACACACATGCAGATGCTCAGTATCTCTACATAGATTTGAAAGCCTGAGGAGAGATGAAGTGATACACCAAAATATATTAATATCAGTTTCAGTTTTTTGTTGATGCTTTCCTTTTACTAAACTTTCTATGATTGCCACATATTCCTTTTTCATTGAGGATAAAATTTAATTTTTTTGAGGATAAAACAATAAATTTCTTTAACAAGAAGAATGATTAAAAGGGAGAAAAATAAGAGAAAACTTCAAAAATTGGCTTACTGGCTTTTAAAATTACTTTCTTCAAGGCTTGTTCTCTTTCTTCACCTCTATCTTCAAAAATATATTTGCCAAGTCTTTTTTTTCCAGGCCTGATTCTAGATAATGGTCTTTATGTTATCTCTCCCCCCCCCCATTATTTATATTAAACTAATTGTTGATGTCATTTTCATTGACTATCTATGCTAATAGTGTATTTTTTTCAGGTATTGAATTGAAACACCTTTGTTTGGAATACATGACTCCGTGGCTGTCAAATCTAGTGCGTTTTTGTAAGCATAATGATGATGCCAAACGACAAAGAGTTACTGCTATTCTTGATAAGCTGATAACAATGACCATAAATGAGAAACAAATGTATCCATCTATTCAAGCAAAAATATGGGGGAGCCTTGGGCAGGTATTGAGTTTGCACAAATATTTATCTAGTGTCTCCTTTGTGCAGATGTTTATCTGATGCACACTTTGTGCAAAGAATGGTGCTAGGCACTAGGGATATAGCAATAGGAAACACACTTCCCTCCTTCCAAAGCATGTATACACCCACCCAGTTCAAAACTGTAAATGTCTAAGGCGTGTCCCAGAGCCAGAGAAGAGCTAGTTATTTTAGCACTCTCCTCCATGGCGTAATTATATAGAATTTAATTGATGTCGTTTTTAGTAAATAGTGCTTTATAATGTACACACCATGGGTGTCAGTAAATATTTCTTAGTGATATTATTTGATGCCTGCTTTCATTCATAGTTCTAGCATTGAAATGCAAATATTAAAATATAGGATGTAATGTAACATTTTATTTTTCATCTGACGAGAATTATGCATATCATTTCTTCAAAGTAATCACTTAAGGGAGCAACGCCCTTACTCAAAAAATGCTGCAAATCCTCCAAATAACTTTAAGTGACTTTGGAGCCAGTTTTATAGCCCTGGAAAACATCTCAGTACTTGACGTTATTTGCTGTATTTTAGAATAATTTTATCTTATACTGATTATAAGTTACTGTCTTAGGAGAGATACTTTGCAAGTGAATGAAGATAACATAGAGAGATTTTTAAATTTTGAATACCAATCTCTTAATCTCTGAAGAAATCAAGTGAATATCTTCATCCTTGGTCCTGGATATTTTATGATAAATTGTTTACTTACAGGTCTGTAAATAAAATCTAGTATTTTGAAGGCCTCGGGTAAAACAGAATTTTCATGTTGATTGGGCTGCTCCTTGCGTATTTTTAAATTAAAAATTAAGTTGGTAGAGTGGTTAAAAACTTACGTTATATTTCCTCTTCCACTAGATTACAGATCTGCTTGATGTTGTACTAGACAGTTTCATCAAAACCAGTGCAACAGGTGGCTTGGGATCAATAAAAGCTGAGGTCATGGCAGATACTGCTGTAGCTTTGGCTTCTGGAAATGTGAAATTGGTTTCAAGCAAGGTAATCACTTTTCCTTTTCTTCTAGAGGATGGCATAATGTATCTGATTTTATCAACAGGAGGTTTTTTGTTTTATAACTAGTCATTTTAAAGTTAAAGAAATTTTTTGTGATAAAACTTTGTTTCAGCCCCATGTTTTTTAAAATTCTGCTTCTTTACAGGTTATTGGAAGGATGTGCAAGATAATTGACAAGACATGCTTATCTCCAACTCCTACTTTAGAACAACATCTTATGTGGGATGATATTGCTATTCTAGCACGCTACATGCTAATGCTGTCCTTCAATAATTCACTTGATGTGGCGGCTCATCTCCCCTACCTCTTCCACGTTGTTACATTTTTAGTAGCCACAGGTCCACTCTCTCTTAGAGCTTCCACACATGGATTGGTCATTAACATCATTCACTCTCTGTGTACCTGTTCACAGCTTCATTTTAGTGGTGAGTTGCAGAAAAGTAATTTGTGTTTCTCCAATTCCTTTCTCCATTTTACTTTACCTGATTGGTATAGATTATCTTACTATTTATGATGGTGCCTTAACACCAAGTTACTAACTTAAGCCTGCAATGATGATATGAAATATTATCAAAAAGAAAAAAATTAATTACTACCATTCCATATCAGGGTATAATAAAGGTTTCCTTGCATATATATGAAAGCTAAACACTCAGTGCCAGTTGACAGTGTAGCACTAATTTGTAGATAAATGTAGCTAAAGCAATGAGGATTGATGTAATGTATCTAGAGGTTTGATTTAGGGAGCATGGTTATGTAATTTTTATATGCTATCCAAACTTTCTGAATCCAAAGTGAAACACGGAACTTTAGAATTAAAAATATATCTTCACAGTCTTTACTTGCTTCTTTTTTCTTTTACAGAAGAGACCAAGCAAGTTTTGAGACTCAGCCTAACAGAGTTCTCATTACCCAAATTTTACTTGCTGTTTGGCATTAGCAAAGTCAAGTCAGCAGCTGTCATTGCCTTCCGCTCCAGTTACCGGGACAGGTCATTCTCTCCTGGCTCCTATGAAAGGGAAACTTTTGCTTTGACATCCTTGGAAACAGTCACAGAAGCTTTGTTAGAGATCATGGAGGTATGTAAGGCAAAATGATAAGAAACTAAGTTAAAATCATTTTTGCAAATCTGTTAGTACTATATAGAAGAAATACTGGTTTATTCTGCTGTTTCGCACTTAATGCTTAAATAAAAACACTTGCATGGAATGTATTATTGATAACATATATGTCATTTATTTAATGACTTTACAATAAACATTGTCTAAATATTTAAATGTTTCTAAAAAACATCTGTGTACATATATATTTAGAGTATCCTTTTTTTAGGCATGTATGAGAGATATTCCAACATGCAAGTGGCTGGACCAGTGGACAGAACTAGCTCAAAGGTGTGTCCCAAATTAAATATAAGTGGTAAAAGTATGTGTATTATTGAAAAGATAGATATTACTTCATAATCAATACATTAACTTATTTAGTATATATAAACACAAGGTTTTCATAAGCTCTTTTGAATCTTGCAGATTTGCATTCCAGTATAATCCATCCCTGCAACCAAGAGCCCTTGTTGTCTTTGGCTGTATTAGCAAACGAGTGTCTCACGGGCAGATAAAGCAGATTATCCGTATTCTTAGCAAGGTACCTGTCCCTCCCTTCTCCCAAATATTTGTGGTTCCCAAGTTGTAAAAGCATGTCTTCGATTCTTCTAAAGGACATTTAAATTTGAATTTAATAAAATTTCTTATATGTTACTTATTAAACCTTTAAAAAATGGATTTTGATTGTTTATCGTAATTCTTTGAAGTAATGAAACCTTCTCTAAAGAAGATGTCTTTAAAAGAAGATAGATATTTTGTCTCTTTTGCTAAGCGGGTACTCTTAATATTTTATCACTTTTCAAAGTATATAATTATTTGATAAGACTATAGCATTATATAAAGTGATATAATTTGTAATTACAGTCATAATGCCTGACTTATTATACTAGAATATTATAATAAAATATTAAAAAATAAGAAACCAAATGTGCGTTGAGCTACCTACCAAGATAACCATAGCATTAGAAATAATTCTAGCACTAACTGAATAAGTAAATGTTCCTGAGCTGATTCTAAGATTCAGTTTAGGAGTTAATATTTTATGTCAATGAAAGTAAAATGAAGAATTCTGTTTTCCTCAAAGGCTCTTGAGAGTTGCTTAAAAGGACCTGATACTTACAACAGTCAAGTTCTGATAGAAGCTACAGTAATAGCACTAACCAAATTACAGCCACTTCTTAATAAGGTAATTACCATATAGAAAATGAGTGCATTCATTTTGGGTATTGATGTTAAATCTTATTTTATTTTCTTTCAAGGAGTTAAAAAAAATGGTTTGAGATGTTATAAAGAAGCAGCTGTAGTTAAAGTAGAACTTCTTAAAGTTTAGTTGTTTGAAGTAGATACATTGGAGGAAGAATAAGTATGAAGAGTATGTTCTTAGGTGCTTTAACTTTTTTGTCTCATCAGTGCTAAAGGAAAGATAGGTATATGTTCTTAATTCTTTTATCTAATAAGTATAATTGAGCATCTTCTATGTGCCAGGTACTATCTTAGGTGCTACAGATATGGTATTGAAAATTTCCTACCCTCATGGAGCTTATATTCTGGGGTGGGTGTGGAGGTTGGGGAGTAGATGGATAATAAACAAAGTAAGTAAAATACATAGTATGTTAGTTAGTGATGATTACTGTGCAGAAATGTAAAGCTGGGAGAAGTATACCTGATCATCAAAAGAGTTTGGGTGCTAAGTGAAGATGATATTTAGAAGGAGTAAAATAATGTGGCCACTGTTTTAGGATGACCTAAACTCATCTCAGCTTTGTGACCTTAAGTGGGTCATTTAACTTATCTGATGTTTCCACATTGATAAAATGAGAAAACTAGACTAATAGTGGCATGGTATTTCCTTCTACCTCTAAAGTTGTATAATTCTGTGAATTTGCGTACAAAGGTATGCCAGACATGGGAGAGATTAGAGACAAGTAAGTACATATTATGCTCCTGACATTGAATTATATGTTCTACAAACATCCTAACCCTAAATCATACAAAATGGTTCTCTCATCTCCGTCTTATAAGTAAAAATGAGGCTCAAAAGGACTAAGTAACTTGCCCAAGGTTACATACCAAGTAAAAGACAGAACCATGATTTTAATCCAAAGCCATCTGACTCTAAAGTCCATGTATTTCCCCATATACTATAGAGAGAAATAAGGATTACCAATAATAAATATTTTTAATTCATAGTAGTAAGAGATTAATATACCAGTAAGAGTGAGAAGAAGTTGATAGGGTAGAGTTGAAATTAAAGAGAGGTAGAGAGAAAAGGAGAAAGCCAAAAGCCTTGACCAGCAAAAGTACAGCAGTAGGACTGTACAAGAATGCTGGAACAATGGAGGGATGGTGAGTAGACCATTCTAGTTGCAATGGAGAAATTTTTCAAGAGAGTAGTAAGAGGGAAAGTTGTGAAGATTGAATAGAATTCATCTAACATTCAACATTCTTCAGAAAGGAGTTTGGAAATGTACTGTTTTCAAGCAGACAGGTAAAATGACAAAAGTGGGGCTTAGCTCATTCTGGTGGTAGTGTGTACAGTGGATTGGAGTGGGGGGAAAGTGGAGGCAAGAAAGAATCCATATTTAGAATGAAGAAGGTTGGCCTGGGATAGTGTCATTAGCAATAAAGAAAGAAATGGCAGATGCAATAGAGTCTACTCTAAAAGAATCAGTAAACCTTGGTGACTGGAATTGGGAATCCAGAACAGGGAGAAATCAAAGGCGATGCTAAGGTTCTGAGCCCTGTAACAGTGTCTTTAGTTATACACATGGAAAAAATGAAGAGCTTATCCTTATATTTACTTTCCCCAAAGAGAAAGCACGAGTATTTGGTGAGATAAGATGCTTGGTTTTATACTGCAGTGTGTTTTGAATGAGATTATTTCATGGTTCATCTTATAACCTGGACCATGTCTTCTTTGCTAGGACTCCCCTCTGCACAAAGCCCTCTTTTGGGTAGCTGTGGCTGTGCTGCAGCTTGATGAAGTCAACTTGTATTCAGCAGGCACTGCACTTCTTGAACAAAATCTGCACACCTTAGATAGTCTCCGGATATTCAATGACAAGGTATGCAAGCTTTCTCTTAGGATTCCTATGTTACTTAAATTTAGTACTCCTTCCTCTTTTATTGTTATTCTTTAAAATCAGAGGAGGTCCATAATTTAAATAATGAATTTCTATAATTCAACGTATTGTGAGTTTAGTTCTCTACCAGCTCATAAATTATAAATAGTTTTTTTTACCAGTGTAAAGAACTTTTTTTTTAACCAGTGTAAAAAATCAATTTACATTTTTTTTTTTTTAATTAGTAGCAGATAAGGAAGTTGGATGTCTAAAGGAAACCTCTGGGTACTTATTTTACTAGCTTTTTTTCTTTTGTCTAATTTCTTTAATTAGGCAAAATATACTAATTAATATACTTAATATACTTAAATATACTTTTTAAAGTATACCATTCGTACCCCCCTTAACAATTATCAATCTTGATTAGGATTGGACTTTGGTTCATAGAGAATGAAGGACGAGCCCACACAGTATGGAATTGTGCTCCTTTTGTCTTTGGAAAAAAATGAGTAGAGTCCAGGAGAAAAGAGAGGAATTTTTTTAAAGACGGATAGTGTGTATGTAACAGATCAGCCTGAAGTGAAATTAACTGAGCTGTGGGTAGAAGGAGAGAGAGATAGCAGGAGCATGGTTTCGAGTGTGAACGGGCGAGGGTACTTCAGAAAGTTCATGGAAAGATTCATATTATCTTTAATTCTGTTTTTCAGTGGACTTTTTGAAGTGCCCCTGTACTTGGTCTGAACAGTATTTATTCAGTTTACCAGATGTGTGGACCCAGAACATCTGGAAGTCTGGAAAGTGTGGAAACAATTTTAGAAGTAGAATGTACCTTGAAGTTTATCAGTCAGACCTCCATTTTACAAAATAGAAAGGAAGGAAGAAGTTAAGTAGCTTGTCCATGTTAGTACTTCTGATCTGGGATTAGAACCCTTCTTTCCTAATTCCCATCACCCTTTTCTGGGGTTGTCTTGGGACAATGGTGGTCAAAGTGATATGGAGCTATTGGCTATTTGTATGTTAAGAATATTGTAAATGAAGCATTTGTATCTTAGGAGTATCTGCCTCAGCATTTTCATTGCCAGAATATCTCAGTAGCAGGAGCTAATTTTGACTCCGGTGCCCAAGGATACTAGGAATCAGAGTTAATAAAGCTTGTTAAAAGTCATCAGGATGTAAATGGCTAGTCATTTATATTTGTATTGTAAATCAAAGTGATTTCATCTTCCAATATCTTATTATTTGTATGCTTGACTGTCTTGCACCAATTAATTTGTAGTACCTTAAATATTCTGATATGGCTTTCTGTAGTCATTTGAAAATACTTTATGTCAACTTGAAATGATTACTTATCTTGTCACATCTGTTGAACACAAACAAAAACCAGTAAGTGATCCTTTAAAGAAAGCTCCTGTGTGAACTCCATCAACCATCTCATGATTGTCTTTATTAATAGAGTCCGGAGGAAGTATTTATGGCAATCCGGAATCCTCTGGAATGGCACTGCAAGCAAATGGATCATTTTGTTGGACTCAATTTCAACTCTAATTTTAACTTTGCCCTGGTTGGACACCTCTTAAAAGGTAGAGACCTTACATCAGAATATTTTTACAAAACGGTATCAAGAAGCCAGTAGTAATTAAAGTAATTGATTACTTGAAGTAAATCAAAATAATTTAGCCCGTGTGTCTTACTTCAAATGCAAACTATATCTGTCTTATTGAGTTGTTTCATTCAACATGTATTTTAAGAGAGTCTAATTTCCACATCAAATATCAGGTTTCCTTAAAAAGCAAAAAAGTTGATTTTTGTAAAATTCCTAAGTACTGAGTCTTCTGCAAGCTATATTGTTAGTAACAGTACATAAGTATGTTGCTGGTTATCAAAATAAGACAGATTGAAAATCAATAAATGCTATTTTATTAATTTATATTGGAAAATGTTCTCTTAAAGATATGACCGTATATTTTTTTCAACTTGTTTCTAGTTTATTGTTCATCAATACCATTATTATATATCATAAAACCTCTTCTTTCTGGTACTCCTCCCTTATTTTATTAATTTATATTGGAAAATGTTCTCTTAAAGATATGACCGTATATTTTTTTCAACTTGTTTCTATTTTATTGTTCATCAATACCATTATTATATATCATAAAACCTCTTCTTTCTGGTACTCCTCCCCTACAACCCCCTCCAGATTTCCTTATTGCTTATAGCCAGTGATCATCAGCTATTCCTTAGAGCAGTTTGTTCACTTCCTAACCTGGCTTTATGCCCCATTGCTGATTTCACAACTTGTTAGCTTTGGTTTATTAACATGGGACAATCGTGGCCTGAGATTGTGGTTAACAAGGACAGCACATAGTGGTGGGTCAGAGGCAAAGCTGCCTAAAGTAAGGCCTAGGATAAGGAGCTGGCAGGAACCAATGGTCTTAAGCAGCACTGGATTTGGCCACTATAGAGACTCAAGGTAGAGCTTAAGTCTACAGTGTTGTATCAATTTAAATGATTCTTAGGCTTGAGGGATCATGGAGGTTCCCCTAGTTTTTATCTGATATTTATACATACACTCAAGACTTTGAATGTGTACATTTGATTTCATCTGCTTATGAAATTTCTACAAAAAGAAATCGGCAGTTGTAATCTCTGAGAGGAAAAGAGATTGCCCAAAAGATATTATACATACTGTAGGCTACCAAGATGAGGTATTGCAACTGGGGTGATAAAGTAATTGCTTATTCTATATTTCTAAAAGAGTATTTTCAGTGTTCAAATCCCCTTTTTAAAAATGATTAATGATTAAAAGCTGGCCAAACATCAGACTTACCCTCTAATCATCCTATTCTTTGAGCTCTTAGAGTATATACTTCCTATGTCATTAGGGGTTTTTTCTTCTAATTAAAAAATTTTTTTAATCAGTAGAACCCTATTTTCAAAAGGAATATTAAAGAAATTTCAGTACATAGATTTTTTAAATCCCTGTGCTGTTTTTTAGGGATGATCTAAAACACCATCATCTTTCCTAATTTTCCTCTCCCTAAGGTACCTTAGGGTTCCAGGGAACATTATTCTATATTACACATTTTTGGTACTTAATCCTATATGTAATTAGTCAACTATCCACATATGTTGTTTTACCTTTCCAAATGGCTATTCTTAGAAGGTGGCAGGAGTTGTCCCTTATACTTCCTTTCCTTGCAAAGTTGTTAGTTACCTTGCAGAGTTGTTGTTAGTCTCAACAAATATTTGTTCAGAGAATAATTAACTTTTTTTTTTTTGTAGGGTACAGGCATCCCTCACCTGCCATTGTTGCAAGAACAGTCAGAATTTTGCATACACTACTAACTCTGGTTAACAAACATAGAAATTGTGACAAATTTGAGGTGAATACACAGAGCGTGGCTTACTTAGCAGGTAAACAGACAAAATTAATCTTACCACATCTATGTTTAAAGATCACTAAAGGGCCGGCCCGGTGGCGCACTGGAGAGTGCACCGCTTGGGAGCGCGGCGGTGCTCCAGCCGAGGGTTCAGATCCCATGTGGAGACCGGTTCCCGCTCACTGGCTGAGCGTGGTGTGGGCGCAACACCGAGGGTTGCGATCCCGTTGCCGATCCCTGGTACGGGCGTGTCACCGAGGGTTGCGATCCCGATACCGGTCAGTAAAAAAAAAAAAAGATCACTAAAAAGGTCCAAATACCTGTAGGTCCTTTGGCTGGTTGCTTGGTGGAGTAAAGAGTTCACAGGTCAGTCCTTTAGTGGTGTTTAAAATTTTGAAAGTTTTGGGCCGGCCCGGTGGCGCACTGCTACAGTGCGCCGCTTGGGAGCACGGCGGCACTCCCGCTGAGGGTTCGGATCCCACATACAGACCGGTTCCCGCTCACTGGCTGAGCGAGGTGCGGGTGCAGCGCCGAGGGTTGCGATCCCGTTGCCGGTCCCGGTCCGGTACGGGCGCAACACTGAGGGTTGCGATCCGTTGCCGGACATGAAAAAAGACAAAAAGGAAAAAAAAAATTTTTGAAAGTTTTGCTAAAACACTTTTCCTTATGAAAGAATTTGCATTAAAATCTGAAATGTTCCCCCTTGTCATCTTTGGCTCAGGAAACTACAGTGTCTGTTGTCTGTCATAAAATCTGAACGCCTCAGTCTAGCATCTTGGACCCTTAAACAGGCCTCTCAATTCTGTCCTCTTTCTCTAAATTGCATAAGCCCCATTTTGATCACTTCTCCAAACGGATGGGCTATTTAAGCTAATCTTAATTGCCATCTCCTATAAATGACTCTCTCCCTCTTCAGTATTCATTCCTTATGCTATTTTACCTGGAATGTCTGCCCCATTCCCACGTTCCATTAAACCTTCCCAATTTTCTCTTATATGATTTATGTTCCTCTATTCAGCAGCACTCAGCAGTTATGTATAACACAGTTCTTGAATGTAGTTGTCAAATGGAAAGTGCTAATTCTCAGTTTGACAGACCTCAGTTGTGGCAATTTTTTTTTTTTAACCATATGACCTTGAACAAATCATTTAACATCTCACAGTATTTTTCCTCACTGGACAAAATAATGCCTGCCCTGCCAATTTTTTGTGTTTGGTGAGGTCAGATGTACATTAAAGCTCTTGCCAAATATAAGATGCTTATTAAGGGCTGGCCCATGGCTCCCCTGGGAGAGTGTGCTGCTGATAACACCAAGGCCACAGGTTCGGATCCCTATATAGGGATGGCCAGTTGGCTCACTTGGGAGAGCGTGGTGCTGACAACCCCCAAGTCAAGGGTTGAGATCCCCTTACTGGTCATCTTTTTAAAAAAAAATTAAAAACAATTTTAAAAAAGCCTTTGTATATTTTATGTTTATGTAGTCTTCCATAACAGTCTGTAAACCCTTTAAGAAAACAAATCTGTCCTAAGTTTTTTATATCCTTAAACACCACACTCCCTAGAGCTTCTTACATGCACATTTAACAGGTATTTCCTCTTTAGGAAGGTGTAAGAAGTATATCCTATTTTAACTCACACTGTGGTTTGTTAAATTTCTTAACCTGCATTCTTTTTCCTGTTAGCTTTACTCACAGTGTCTGAAGAGGTTCGAAGTCGCTGCAGCCTAAAACATAGAAAGTCACTTCTTCTTACTGATATTTCAATGGAAAATGTTCCTATGGATACATATCCCATTCATCATGGTGACCCCAGCTATAGGCAAGTGAACTTGTTTTCCCATAATTACATAATTATAATCAGGTTTCAATTTTTCATGCTAATGGAGGCAAGCATTAGAGTAATCTAGAAGGGGATATAGACTGGAATCTAGAGATGATGTAGGAAGTGTGTGTAAATCAAAACTCGTTTTATAAATATGATTATATTTTATGTGAGTTAGTAGTAAGAAAGCTGTCATTCTTCTGGTCTCATTGTGCCAATATTAACATTAGTTTGCCTCTTTTAAGCACAAATCAGTTGAATAATGAAAAAAGATGATCTTGAAAGTATCAGGTTGCAGGAAAGGGCCTGGGAAAAAACTAACATGAAGTATAAGCAACATTACATGCTTAATAATAAACTAAGCTATAGAGATTTATAAAAACATATACATGCCAACACATTTGTTACATTTACTCGTATCACCAGTTATTAAAAAGCTTTCTGTAGTATAGATTTAGATGATAAAATAAATTATGTCCGCTGTTGTACATGGTTTGGGTAGTATATTTTTCAGTATAACTTGGAGAAATTATATAAAAATGGCTTCATTTGGGGCTTTTTCTATGTTTTCAATTAAATGAAAGTATTTTTAAGGTTTAGGCATATTGTTGAACATAGAAAAGCAATCTTCTGTTTGTAAGGTTTATACCATTCAATTTATGAACATTCTGCTTTTTGATAAGCTCTCAACAATTTCCCAGTGAGATTTTAACAATGTCTGCAGAAGGTTTCCTGGCATACTTAGTATTTGATAATCTTATTCTTCAGTTACTACCATGATTATCTTTCTTTGAGATATGCCCTTTTTGTTATGTAAAGAAGAAAGTGAGTGTGCCTGTGGTTCCCGGTCAAAGTATAAGTTAAGGTTTGATTTTCTTGGTTGTTTTTTTTTTTTTTTTTTTTTTTTTTTTTTTTTTT